TTCAGGTAGTTGCTTTGGAGAACTTCTCATTCCGTTGACTCTGCTACGTGGTGCTAGCTGTGTCCAGGGAGGTGGTCATCTTATTCCTTGCCTTGCAGGCATCTCAAGCATGCTGCAACTTTTCTTCCTTGTTCTTTTCTTGCAGTGCACACTTCAGCTGGGAAGTCATGAGATAACGGGTGGTTAAGTAGTATAAGATATAGCTCCTTAATTAGAATAGATTGCCTCCAGGCTGTTTCAGTCTACAACAGTATATTTCTAAACTAATTCTCAGCAGTGTTCCTTCCAGTGGATACTAGTGTGTGTCTTAAGAGAACTGCTAGTATGAGCCCATAGTACCTATCCACACAGAGGCTGCCTCCTGTATCTCTGCATGAATAACTGTTCTGGCTTTGCCTGTTTCTAATCAGCTTCTTTATGTGTTCTCTGAGGATGTTTTGAGTTGTTCTTCTGCCCTGGTTACTGTGCTAGACTTGTATCCTTCCAATCAGGAGATATTTTTAGGTCAGACACTCAATGGCTTCTCTTTTGCACCCTAAAAGTATATTTTCAGGGGATAAAAAATGAAATGTAACTCCAAGTTAAATTCAGAAAAACAGTTATCAAACTGTTCTATGCAGATAAAGAAGTGTGATGAATACGGACAAGCTTTGTTGGAGGAGTAATAATAATTATTATAATGTTATTAAATATTTATTTAGTACTTAGGGGGGGAAAACATACTTTCAGAAATCCTTACATTTTCTCTGTAAGGTAAGAGAAATCTGGTACTCCCATATTTTTATGTTTAGAGTTGTCCTCCAAGTGGTTTTAAGGCTGAATTGAGATTTGAATGAGGGAGTTCAAGCTCACAGTTCATAACACTATTTTAGACTTCTTGGAGGTGTGTTCTAAAGGACATAATTACAAGTACCCGACAAGGCAGTTTTTGTGCCATCTGGTCTGAGTCAAAAGATGTAGGTGGGTAATCATCTAGATTCAGAACTTTTACAGCCCCCATATTTTATTTGGTACTGAATTTAGATGCCACTTGAAGTGATGAATATGTTTGTAAGAATCCACCCTCACACAGAGAAATTGATATTTAGAGTCTGTTACCCAAAAAGGCAGTCTCCTATTTAATTGGGGGAACTCAGCTTTAAAGGAGACAAAGTGAGAGGGGGTAATGGATTCTCTACCTATGTATACAGGGATCTTTCCCTTAGAGAACTCTCAAAATAAATCAATCAGATGTTCAACTGGAAAAGGGTTTTATTGAGATAGGAATAAAAGGGCAAGATACACACAACCACATGGAAAACACACAAGTTAACTAACAGGAAATCAGGGAGGAGAGGGGAGAGAGCAATTTCAGAGAAGGCTATAGTTACCAGTCTCGAAGACCAAGGTCCATGGAGACAGAAGCGAAATGACCGGTGTTTCATGGGGCATAGAAGAGAGGACCCAGAAGGATTTGGGGGTGTGAGGTATGACATCAAGAACACACACACACACACTGCTATGGAGCACAGTGCTACAATTATAGTGGAAAATGCTCCCTGGAGCAGTCTGACATGTTTGTCCCCCCAAAAAAACCTGATGGGTTTTTCGGAGGTGAACAATTATTTGGGAGAAGCTTGATGAGTTTACCTGTGGTGGACTATAGGTGCTAATGGTGCTTGATGACCCTCTAAGTACTGGACGGGAAAAGCTACCAGGTTTCTGGAATAGTATTAGCTGTTGCTTAATTAGGGTAAATGGGCGAGAATTGGGGGAGTTCCCCCTGGGTTTTGCAGAAACCAAAATGGTATTGGTAAATCTGCAGAGTATCCAGTTTTTAGCTATCGGATATAGTGATTCCTGTCTTTATCAACTCAAATATACCCTGGAAAGTTTGACAGCAGCAAAATAACTTGCAAAGTTCCCTCATTAGGCATCTTCTGAATGTGATGTTTACACGTATTGTGACTCATGAACCAGAAGGCTGACATTGTAAGAACATTTAAGATGGATCTTCCAAGCCCAAAGTAGAAGGTTGGCTTGGATGCAGATCTTTCCCATCTTCTTCTCCTAGCGTCCCCTGAAAAGTTGATACTGTGTGTGAGCAGAGCCCTGTGAACATAATGCCGTGGGATGGGAACCAAAGGCTACAGCCAGAAGAGAGAATTGAGAAAAATCTGATCGTGGAAGAGGAAGGAGGAGGCAATTATAATGGACTTCCCCTCCTCGATATCACCTACTAGCACTGTGGCACTGTGGCACTTTGTGTACCAGGCTGCCGCAGCTTTTGAGGGATCACAGTGCAGCTTGGTGCAGTATGCTGCCACTTGGTTTATTATTAAGGAATTAGGCAGTGCATGCATATTACACTCTCTCTGCAGTCACTCCAGTCCACTGGCTGCCCATTAGTCACCAAGTTCAATTCAAAGTACTGGCTGTCACATGCAAAGCCCGTCCTGGCCCTGGACCCTCTTGTTTGCAGGATTACCTCTCCTCCTCTGCCCCACCACGAACAGGAACTTCTACAGGTGCCATCCTGCAAATGGGCAAGATCAACAACTGCCTGTTCGTGTACGTTCTCTGTAGTGTCCCCCACACCCTATAGAACGGCTTGCTTTAGGAGGTCAAGAAGGCTTCCACACTTTTGGCTTTCTGCAAAATATGAAAAACAGAACTGTTCAGGATGCTGGGATACCAACATCCAGGTGGAACCTGGAGATCCCCTGGAATTACAACTGATCTCCATGCTACAGAGATCTGCTGGGGAAAATGACTACTTTGGAAGGTGAACTACATAGCATTATATCTCTCCTGAGGGCTCTCTCTTTCCCAGACTCCACCATTCCCAGGTTCCACTGCAGAACTTCAGGAATTTCCCAACCTGGAGCTGGCAATCCTATCAGGAGATCATTTTTATAAAGGAATAGGGCTGCATTATAACAGAATGATTCATGAAGACATTTTGATATACAGAATAGGACTGGTCACTGTGGACTGTAAGATATTATCTGTTGCTATCTGTTTTTCTCTTGCTTTCATTGCATGGTATTTCTGTTTACATAACACCATTTCTTGCATTGTTTAATATGTCATGTTTAATACTTATGCCTTGGTCCTGATTTCTGCAATCCTAATGTTATTACATTATTTATTAGATGTCTCCTCATCCTATTTATTGTACTGATTTTCACTGTGTAATCTGCCTTGAATATCAGTGAAAAAGGCGGACTATAAATAACACAAATAATTTTAAAAATTAGGACCTAACACACTGCTTCACTTAAACACATCATCAGGGGAAGTCAACTCTGGATCACTGTATTGTGCTAAGTCACTTAGTGAATAAATACAAAAAAGGGAAAGGGTCCAAGTTGTATGCTGCCTTCCTGGATCTGAAGAGTGCTTTTGATACTGTCTCAAGGGAGCTTCTATGGAAGAAGTTAAGGCTGTTGGGAATTGAAATGAGATTGCTCCTGTTGATTAAGAAATTATATACAGATACCACTTGCCAAGTAAGAGGCTCTAGGGATGGTGATTTAACCCCGAAAATTTCCATCAAAATAGGGGTTAAGCAGGGCTGTGTATTGGCTCCCCTCCTTTTTAATCTTTTCTTAAATGATTTGGCCACGGGGTTAGAGAGGATTGATGGTCACAGCCCAATTATGAGCTCGCGACCGGTGCCCCTGCTATTGTTTGCAGACGATGCTGTAGTTCTTTCTAGGTCTGAAGTAGGGATAAAGAGACTGTTGGCACATTTTATAGAATATTGTGAGCTGAACGGATTATCTGTGAATTTTGACAAAACTAAAATAATGGTGTTCGGAGATTCCTGGAACCCCATCAACTGGCGTGTTAAGGGTAACACCATTGAACAGGTGAAGTGTTTTAAATATTTGGGAATTAACTTTCATCATAGTGCAAGGTGGGTAGCCCACAGATCAGAAGTAATTAAATCTGCGAACAGCTGTGTGCTAGCAATAACCCGTTTCTTTTTTACCAAGGGTAACCAGTATGTTCCTGCGGCCCTAAAAGTGTTTCAGCACAAAATTGGAGCGAAGCTTCTTTATGGGGTGCCCATTTGGATCACAGCTTTTAACAAAATGGTAGAACAACTCCAATCCAATTTTGTGAGGAAAATATTAGGGTTGCCCCTGTGTGTTTCCTACGCCGCTATTTGTTTGGAAGTCAATATGATACGCTTGGAAACAAGGGCTTGGATAATTACCTTCAGATTTTGGCTACGTTTGCACTTTAGGAACTGTCCCAATAGCCTTATTACATATCTGTTGGAAGAGTCTCATTGCTCTGAGTGGTTTGCTGCTATAGAAAGGAAAATCGTCTCAATAGGGTTATGCGTGAATGATATGATGTCCTTATCTGAAGCACACATCTTTGCCCTGCTCAAACAGAGATTAATTGATATTGAGATGCAAGAGCTTAGAGCCTTGGCTTCTGGTAGATGCTCCCCTTTAAGATGGGCACGTTTTCCGATCAACACCCCTGCACAATACTTATTGGATTTGACTTCTCCACAGTTGCGTAGAGCATTTATGCTGGCCCGCTTTAACGTGCTCCCCTCTGCGGTTTTAGCAGGAAGATTTAAGAAAATCCCCTACTCTGTTAGGTTTTGTGATTGTGATTCAGAGGAGATTGAAACAATCGAACACGTATTCCTCCACTGTAGTTTGTATGATGACATTCGGGCAGTCTATCTAGAAGCCATACTTAAGAAAGATGTCAAACAATCAGATGACAGAATGTTGTACCGTTTATTGGCTTCACAAAATACAGTGGTTATTGAAGCGGTGGCTAATTTCTGTAACTGCCTTATAATGAGGAAGTTATGTGTTTAATCAATGAACTGAAGGGTGACTGTTTATGACTCTGATCCATGCCAATAAAGGTTTTGAATTGAATTGAATTGACATCATCAGTGGATCGTTGTGATTTCAGAAGTGAGGTTCTTTGTGCCTCAAGTACTGCAAGAAGGCCTAATTTTTGTTTGCGATTTTGTATTACAGATGAACCCCAGGATATTCCTCCTACAGAAAGCAAAATTGATGCTGGTAGGAGGCCAGGAGACAGATCCAGCTTTCCTTCTTCTGCAGGACACCTGTTTTTTGAGTATTTAGTTGTGGTCTCACTTAAAAAGAACTCTGGGGGGAACTATGAGCCCAAGATTACTTACCAGTTTCCCAAGGTAAAACAACCTTGCACGACTGTTTATTGAGAGATGCCTATTAGAGGGACTTACTTCAAAACATTGAATAGTCTGACTGAATGCTTGATTGTTTTTGCTGTAGTCTGGTTAGGGTTGCCAGACTGCCCAGTGGAGGCGGGAGTCCCCTGCTGCTAGGCCCTGTCCCTCAGCTGTAGATCAGCTGGCTGTCAGGGGACTTACCAGTAGAAAAAAGAAGGCCCAGGCCACATTGCCAAGTTGCATAGGAAGTGACGTCATCACACCAGTGACTTCTGGGTGACACTCTGGTATTTGGGCAAAACCTCTATGGTATAAGACTGTTTTATCATAGAGTTTTTGCCCAAACACCAGAATGTTGCCTGGAAGTTGCTGTCATGATGATGTCATTTCCTATGCAGCACCAGCACCATGGCCTGGGCCTTTCTCCTGGTTAAGTCCTCCCCGTCCCCCACTGGTTGCCAGGAGGGACCTGGCAACCTTAAGTCTGGTAGTAGGGTTGCCAACCTTCAGATGGGGCCTGGAAACCTCCTAGAATTATAATTCATCTCCAAATGATAGAGGTCAGTTCCCCTGGAGAAAATTAGAGCTTCGGAGGGCAGACTCTATGGCATTATACTCTGCTGTGCCCCCCCCTTTTCCCAAACCTCACCCTTCCTAGCCTTCCCAGCTCTTCAGGAATTTTCTGATCCAGAACTGACAACCCTGTCTGGTAGGCCTAGCTACTCCAGAAAATGAAAGCTCCTCTGCAACACTTTCAAAACCTGAAAAGTATGCTTGCTCTGTGCCCACACCTTTTAAATCCTCTTTTTCTGCCTTCTTCTCTTGTTCCACAGAGTTTCCCTTGAATTATGATGTAATTCATGAAACTTCAGTGGAACTGATTTCTCTTCAGGGAGGCAGAAAATCTTGCTTACAAAAGCCAATCTCAATTGCATCTTTCTCTTTGAAGTTTCCATCGTTACTTTGCTTTGTGGTGTACCTTCTCTGTACCTATTAAAGCTGTGTTAGAGAAAAGGTTTCCTTGATAGCGAAGAAAGCATGAGCAATTGTTTTGATGGGGCAAGTAGGGATGCCAGCCTCCAGGTGGGACCTGGGAAATTCCAGGAATTACAGCTTATCTCCAGGCTACAGAGATAAATTCCCTGGGAGAAAATGGATGCTTTGAAGAGTGGACTCTGTGGCATTGTATCCCACTGAGGTCCCTTTCATCCCCGGGTTCCATCCCTTAATCTCCAGGAGTTTCCCAACCTGTATCTGGCAACCCTACCCCCCCTATCCCCACTGGTGGCCAGGAGTGACCAGGCAACCCTAGAAATAAGATGGTCTCATTGACTAAAGGCCCAGGATGCAAATTTAGCACAATCTGCCCTCTTCACTGGAAGGTACACTCCCACTCCCTGCTCTTTGATTCTTTGGTTTGGTTAATGGGTATATTTCTTGGTAAGCCTGTTATGAAACTTATATCAATTTTATAATAATACTGCTTTTATCATTACTACCACTAAAAGTGTGTTTCCATTAAAGTCTTTTTGGGCTCATGAATCCTTCAAAAGCAAAGAAATTTGGATATTTTCATTGGACTATACTATGCTGTAGGGTATTCAGGATCTCCATTGAGCTTTGGGTGCACAGAAGTATTCTTTTCCAGCCATTTGTAAAGCAGAATCAGCGAGGGGCTGTAGCTCAGTGGTGGAGTATCTACTTTGAATGCAGGAGATCCCAAGTTCCGTCCCGGGCACCTCCAGCTAAAAGGATCAGGTCATAGGTGATATAAAACACCTTTATCTGAGACCCAAGAGGGCCATTGCCAGGCGGTGTAGACCATTCTGACCTTGATAGACCAATGGTGTGACTCGTTATAAGACTGCTGCATGTGTTTATGCTGGCACTACGGCTCTGTTTCTGGGACCCTTGCATTCTGTGCATGTACTTCCTTATTATCCTGCACCTCTAGACCCTTGGCCCCCCTCATGGTTGGGGAAAAAAACAAACCTCCATATAGAGTGTCAGGGAGACAACTCCTTGTCATGCTAATTTTCTGTACACTTAGGTTTTTTTAAAAATAGGGAGGAGCACTTATTCGTGAGCTCCCATATTCAGTCTGAAATGGTACACACACCCCCAAACACATTATGTACCTCGGTGAGAGTGGGCCTGTCGACTCTCAAAAGCAGCCAAACTGGAACTGAAAGGATACTGCTTGCACAGAGGCAAGATCACCTAGGAACAGTGGGAAAGGGCGTTCAGTGGCTGGCTGAGAGTGTCAGGAGAGCTGGTACTGGGCTTGTGGGCAAGCCATCCCTGGGTTAAAGTGTATCTGCTGGCTGAGGCAGCTTAGCTGAAGATTTTCTAATTTACATTTTTAAAACATTTCTTATTTCTTGTGCATTCACTTCATTTATTTATTTGATTTCTAAAGCCCCCTCCCCCTTAACCGGGCTCAGAGCGGTGTACAACATTCTAATACAGCTCTAAAACATTGTAGTTAAATTGACATAATTAAACTTATAAACAGTTATAAATTAAGTCAATTAATCAAGTTAAAAATCATTAAAATAGTACAATCTGAGCTATAGATTTTTAACGTCATCTGTAGCTCAGATTGCACTATTTAAATGACAACTGTGTTCGGTCCAACAGGACGCGGATGTCACCAGGCAGAGAATTCTACCAGGCAGGCTCCAGGGCCTCCATATCTAATGCCTCAGAGTTGAGATTCAGTGGCTCATTAAGTCTAGTTGATGTTTCTTGTTTAGCAGGGAAATGCTGGGTTGGATCCAGGAGTAGATTGGCTCTAATGGAACTGGGGTTGGGGACAGGATGAACTGCACCAATTTTTCCCTTCCACTGCAGACCTCTGGCTCACCCTTTGTGTCATTACTGGCTGTCCTCTGCTCCCAGAAGCAGGATTTCAGTCTGCAGAGGGATGGGGGAGGCAAGAAAGTGCCATTCTGCTGGTGGGAAATCCCTTCCATCAGCAGAAACTGCTGCTGGATCCAACCCATTTCACTGGACCCAGTGTTGCCCTGACCTACTATTGTGTTCACCAAATTAATTCTGCCTGATTCAGTGTCTGGAATGCTGGAATTTGTGCCTCTGGGAGATGGTAGATCATTGCAAAGCAAAGTTTAAACATGGGTGCAAAAGTCTTCACTTCAGCACTGTTTTGAAAGCAAAACAATATCCTGTGTGGGTTTGCTTTGTACAGCTTCATTTTACTCTTCAGAAAGCGTCATTCTGATACCTTTGTTTCAGTATAGCTGACCTTCTTCAGCTCCCCTAACCACTTACCACAAATCTGTACCATGAGAAAAGCTACAGAATTGCTTCACAGTACAAGAAATACTTGTATTGTAGAGACACCAGCCACCATTCAGTACAAGATGTGACTCAATCAGATATGCCTAACATGCAGCCTGCAGTTCTAGCTCCAAGTTGCCCTCTACATAGGAAGCTCTGTGGATACCCTTAAATCCCAAAGCCAGCCTTTTGCACAAGACATTCAGTGAGATCATAAAAAGTCAGACTCCTGGTAATTGTTGCCAATGCCACTCAATGCTCATCTGGTTGGCAGATGAAAGCGGGCTGGCAAAATGTGGGTGGTTGACAGTCTTCATCACCACGTGATGACAGCACTTCCAGTGTGACTCGAAAATGCTGGCATTGCACCGGGGCGATGCTCTAGCACTCACCCAGAAATTCCATAGAGTTTTGGGGTGAGTGCTAGAGCGTCACCCCAGTATGATGCCAGTACATCTGGGCTGCACCGAAAGTAAGGTCATTGTATAGTGATAAAGCTTGCCACTCCTCACCACAGTAAGTACCACCTCCCCTCATCTCCTGCTGGTTGCCAGACTATGCCTGGCAAGCCTGCGTGGGAGCATAGCTCAATAACCAACAATGTGCTCCTATTAATCAGTAACTGCACTTTTTAATTGGGCTAGTGCATTTTCTTTAACTTTTCATTTATTTATTTAATATATTTCAGTCCTATTATAATAAATGTTTCCAGTGTGATTCACAAAAATAAAGCAAAAACAATTCATTTTATGTAATCCAGTTAAGAATCAATCCACCTTTTAACATGAACCCCAAGGAAACAGGATTTCCCACATGAGCCACACTTCCAGAGACCTTCCAGGACAGGCATGTTTTTGCTCACCTCAGAAAGGAGGCAAGAAATTGAAGACCTTCTGGTCATCTACTGAGAAGATCCCTGCTGCAAGTGACTGTCAGTCCCGGATAGATCCCCAACCCACATATAATAGTACCACGAGCAGGACCTATTCAACCCATCTTAAGCGGCAGTAGAGCTCATATAGGGGAAGGGCAAATTTGTTTTGGCCACCTACATCTCAGCCTGAGTCATAGGTGCTCCTTCTGTGCATGTCTTTATGGATTTTCCTTGGAGTGATGTTTATTATTAAGTATTGAGATCGAGGCAGCGTTTCAAACAAGTGGTTTCTTTATTAGCTCAGAACACAGACAAACAACACACAGACAAACAACACACTATATACAGTTTGAACCAGGAAAACCACACCCCCTGGAACAATAACAACCAATCAAAGATGAGTGCTTGGGTCCAATGGGAATTGTTCCTTCTGAAAGTCAGAGGTCCATCCGGATTGGTCTGTAAGCAACAGTGACCAATCTGGTTGCTTTGATTAGAATGCCAGGCAGTCTATGGAGCTTGTGACCGAAGCTCACACTTTACTACAAACCAGATAACCCAATACATAACATTTATGATGCAGACAAGCCTAGTTGAAAATGGTGATGCGTATGTATGCTTCTTTGCAAAAGTTCATGTTGGGGGGAAAGCCACCCTAAAAACCTGGAAATTGGTAGGCCACACACTAATAATAGTACTTGGCATTTATTATAACACTTCCGCTAGCTTGATAGTGTTCCTCTTTTTACAGCGTGAAAACTTGTTGAGGGGACAGCGTGAAGAGGAAGAGAGATTGCTGCAGGCCATCCCGCTTTTCTGCTTCCCTGATGGCAATGAATGGGCACCGCTCACAGAGTATACCAGGTAAGTTTCCTGTGACCCAGGGCCAGCAAGGAGCTGGTGTTGTGAGATGGCACGCAAAAACACACATGTCAACAGAACAGATTTTGAGTTCAGTGGCACTTTAAGACCAACAAAGTTTTATTCTGGGTATAACCTTTTGTGTGACACATGGAAGCTTATACCCAGAATAAAACTTTGTTGGTCTTAAGTGTGCCATTGGACTCAAACTTTGTTCTGCTGCTTCAGACCAACACAGCTACCCACTTGAATCTACACGTCAACACACAGGGAAGCAAAAAGTCACCCCTAACCCTAACCCATACTTTGCCCTAATTAACAGAACTCTCTGGTGCCATTTCTGGGCACAGCCTTCCAAGGAATTCTACAAAACCACCAGCTCAGGATATGAGATTATTGAGCCTTAATTGTAGTCAGTGGTGAAATCTGCAGTCCTGGCCCTGGTTTAACCTGTTTCCATTAGTGTTTAGGGAGTGTATTTGTATTGCTGTTTTACAAAGGGCTGAAGTCATTGTAGTTTCTCTGTGAAGATGGTTAATAACATTCTGTTGTTTTGCAACATCTGATACAGTTAAGGTTGCTGCATGTAACATTTAATATTCTCATATGTTACTTCCTTAGTCTCACAATGTTTCCTTAGTTTGAAGGTCTTGAGATGGCAACCCTCCTTAAAGGCCTTTGTAACAAGTTAGAATCATCATGAAACTCTGAGAAGTTTTACAGAGACCTTTATCCAGTGTATTCCATGCAGTGGTACGGGTAAATGTAACCAATGGGAATTTTGGATGAGCAGTGAGTTCTCTTTATAAAAGGAGTTAACTCAGAACATCCACCTCATAACACAACATCTACCTCATGAAACAGCATCCTCCTCAGCAAACATCTACCTCAACAAACATCTGCCTGTACAAGCAAGTCTCTGTTTGACTATCCCTTTCCATTGTACTTGTACAATTCACAAGTGATCTTTTATCTGTACAACGTGTTCTGCTAATAGTGAATAACTAGAAATTTCACCTAAGGGTGGGTTGTGATTGGAAGATCTTTGAGTTTGAGCCTGAGGAGGCCTGGGAATGTTGTGGGCATGCCAATGTGGGTTGCCGAGGGTCTCTACCAAGCTGCCGTGGGGTTACTTTGGGGAGCCCCTGTTGAAACTCTGGGAATATCAGCCTTTCTGTCCTTCTGAACCTGCCTTTGGAGACTTGGAGGTGGCCCTACCAGCTCAAATTTCTGTTCCATTCCTTTGCTGCATAGAAGAATACAGTTAGAGGAGAGTCAGCCAGAGATCCCCTGCAAGTTTGGTGTCTCTAGCACACCAGGGAGGGGGGCATTCTACTGCATCACGAACTTCACAAACCGAACCAGTTTGTTTGTCACCTAAAAGTCCATGATGGTTCATGGCTCACAAACCTGGCACACCAGGAACTGAAATGAACCGCATTTTCCCGTTTGTGCCCATGCCTGTGCATAAATCCAGTTTGTTGTGTGACTCATGCCTCCAGTTTACTCCCACCCCCCCTTTGTCTTGCACAGGATGTGATGAAGAATAATTAGAAATTTCCTTGTTACTCGTGATGTTCAAATGCAAGCACACAAGTTAACCAGTGTTAATTTTTGTCCCACTAATCCAGAGTTTGGGGGAGGGAAGGTACCATGGTCTGGCCCAGTCTTGTCAGAACTTGGAGTCAGAGGAGGGTCGGTACTTGGGCAGGAGGCCACTAAGTAAGACTCTGCAGAGGAAGACAATGACAAACCACTTCTGCTTCTCACTTGCCTTGAAAGCCCCTTGGCTGGAGTCATCATAAGTCAGCTGTGTCTTGACGGCATTTTACCCACAAAATCCAGAGTTTAATCCAGATTTAGAATCCCATGTGGTAGAGAGGGAACTGCTTTGCATTGACCTGCTTACCTACATTAGTTCATCAGTTGGGGGGTGAGACAGGAGGTGCAGCAGCATCCACCTTGCTTAGTGACTCAGGCCAACTACACATTGCATTTTCTGACTTTCCCTGCAATGGGACTATGCTTGTCTTCCCTCCCGCACTGTGAACCTGAGCTCAATAAGCCCCCTGCAGATTTTACAAATGTCTTTTTGCACAGCTGCTGTGCAGCTGTGGGAGAAGCAAACCCAGACTCAACTTGTCAGAAAATGATCATCCTCCACTGATCTGCTCACCTGCTGTTACAACTCTTAGGTTGAATTCACATAGCAAACAACTATAGAAAATTTAACATGCAGTTTGGCTCTCAGAGCACTGAGTCACTGTCTCAGCGTCTATAACTGTAGGGCAGAGCACTGAGTCACTGTCTCAGCGTCTGTCAACTGTAGGCAGAAGAGAAGAAGAAGAGGAGATTGGATTTATACCCCGCCCTTCACTACCCAAAGGAGTCTCAGAGCGGCTTACAAACTCCTTTCCCTTCCTCTCCCCACAACAGACACCCTGTGAGGTAGGTGGGACTGAGAGAGCTCTGGCAGAAACTGCTCTTTTTCAAGAACAGCTGTGCCAGAACTATGGCTTGCCCAAGGTCATCCAGCAGGTGCAAGTGGAGGAGTGGGGAATCAAACCCGGTTCTCCCATATTAAAGTCTGCACACTTAACCACTATACCAAACTCCATCTCTTCTACCAATACTACTGTCCTACTCAACAGCAACAAGTGGTTTAATTTTTTTTACATTATAATTGCCAAGAATATGTGTTGGCAAAAGAATAATTGTGACTACAACTTTCTTGTAAGCAGATGCTGCAACTGCATGGATGGCAAAGGCATGTTGGGATGACAGGTAGGGGTAAATTTAGGAGGGTGTCTCATGTTGCTGTGTCATGAAATGTGGGCTTCCCAAACAGCATTTTCATTTAAGTGGCCCAAGAGTGATTCTTTCTGCTTTTCCCATGTAAAACTCAGCAGGCTGTTCAATTCCACTTCTTTTATCTTTGCAGTGAAACATTCTCTTTTGTCCTCACCAATGTGGATGGGAGTAGAAAGATTGGCTACTGCAGGCGACTATTGGTGAATATCCTTCCCCCACCCCTTTTACTGTGCTACTGTTAGGTTATTTGTTGGGTCCAGAGGCTAATCATTTGTTGGGTCCAAAGGGGATGGTTTTGAATGTACCAGAACAGGGGTGCCACTCACATTGGGACCTCAGGGCTGACAGTTAGAGTTACAGAGGAAGAAAATGGCTAATACATGTTTGAATCAATGGCCAGTGTTTGGGCTGTAGCACTTCAGGTTGCAAGGGCATGTTCACATGGCTGAATGCTTTTCCATACATGCACAAATCCCTTCTTATGGAAATCTGGCAGCCATTTATCCTTGATCTGTCTCTTGTCCAGAATCAATATGGCACCAGCTTCTCTGTACAGACCTAAGACCTATATTCTTGCTGCCCATCTTTCTTCCTTGTTAGACCATTTTCTTGCAACTGAAATTAGTTTTCCAAATATGTCTGTTGCATATCTTGTTTTTTCCTTACTGAGTTCAAAGCAACTGAGAGGGCACTATTTCTGATTGGATCACACAGTTTTCGGCCTGATTGCCGTGTAAACGAGGGACCATCATAACTGTGCCCCAGACTGAGCTTCTGTCAGGGTCCAAGCACAGAGTCTGACAGAATGGACACAAACCAATTGGTTACATAAGCAAGTTTCTTGCCTTCACTTTCACCAAGCTCATAGACCTTTTGTTGGCTTTGAGAACTGGCCATGGGGCCAAGAACAGTGATCATGCAAAGTGTATCATGCAGCAGAAGAGTATCTGGAGGTAGATACAAAACGGGGGGGGGGGACCCATAGGAAACCAGAACTGTTAGTGTTTCTTGGAGATCAGTCACAGTCAAAGACTGTTATTTTTAAAATAATTTTGAATCTCTGCTGACACACTATTTGTATCTGAATCCATTTCAAACTAGGTTTTAGTCTGCGTTTGGAAAGGTGGCTGCTTTGGTCACACTGGTAGACGACCTTCTGTAATAAGAGAGACGGTGGGAATGTGATCCTGTTGATTTTCTGGAATGTCTTTTGATACCATCAAACATGGCATCCTTTTGGTCTGTTGGTGTGGGTGGGAATCAACATCTAAAGCCAGTTCCCTATTCCAGAAATCCATGGGGCTTGGACAGAATAGCTGACAAAGTCTGCCAACTGTTCTGCTAATAGCATCTGGAAACCATCCAGTTCCATTAGTGTTCAGGGTTGTAACTGGTCTTCCACTCTCACGGAGGTTAATTGCGCTACATATTTAGTCTTAATTAATAGTGATCCATCCAAGGCAAAGGAATAAACAGCATTTTCAGTGCACAGGTCACTCCTATTTTGCTGAGTGCAGGAAACCAGATCTAGTGTTGACAAGCCTATGAATGGTGGCTATGAAATCCTGAGCTATAAAGGAAGATTTAGGCTGGAAGTTAAAGTATCCCAAATCTGTAAGTTTGAGGAGCCCCAATACACATCCGAGACCACCTCTGTCATCTAATTTAGGAGGCTGGTTAGCACATGAACTATATCTCCAGTTTGTCTTGATTTCCCAGCAACCATTCAACATGCACTGTATCTCAAACTAGACATCTGGTAAGGGAAAGAGAGTCTTTATGGACTATGATAACTCCCCTGCCACTGACTCTAAATTGCTCCTGTACAGAGTATCCAGCATGAAGCAATGGGGAGCCTTATGTCTCATCTGGTCAGATATTTATCTACAAACCAACCAACCCCCTTTTATTTATCCCTGAGCCCGTCGTGAAGGGTGTTTTATTTTGGATTGCTACCCAGAGATTTAATTTAGGACCATGAAATGATGACAAATTCAAGAAGTGAAGCTCTACAGTTGTACAACATATAAAGGATCCATTATTGACTTGTCTGCAGCATTTTTCTTTAGGCAGTTGGTACAGCAAATGGTGGAGAGTGTAGTAAAAGTGCTGAAGTTCCTAGTCTTCATCAGGTTCTAGTGCTTTTGACTGTTGACAGGGTTCTGCAGGAACTGAAAGAAAACCACCAGAATATATCATTAACATGTCCAATACCTTACTTGTGGAGCTTGCTTATCCAAAAATAGTTCTAAAAGATCAGCTGATTTTTAGACAGTAGCAGAATTTAAAAATTCCCTTCAGTTTATAAGACAAAATGAAAATCAAGATGTAGAAGGTAGACAAAATTCAAATTAGAAAACTGATGCAAAACAGTAATGATAGTAAGGAGGACAGCAGACCATGCTGCCAAGAACTAGGCAGGTTTCACTGATATTCTTCAAATGAGCACATTTCTGCAAAATATCTTATTATCCAAATGTTGTGTAATTAGTTTAATAAAGTACATCTTAGCGCAGGGATTTCCAGTTAATGTACAGTGTTCAGAAAGTGCCTGACTTTCCCATCCCCCTCCATACAGACTTCCCATGTTTAAAACTTGGGGAGGCTGTTCTTTGGAGTGGGGGGAGAAGGCCCTCTGTGTGCAAGTGAACTCTGTCTCTTGTACAGAAGGGACCCCACTAGATCACAGCCCCAGTGTATACTTGGATAACATACAGTTTCTGTTTTGCTGCTCCACTAAGTTGTCTCAGTGGTGCCTTTGGCATTAAAAGTCTGTAGCTATGTAAGCATCCATGGTATGTGCATGACACATCTACAGATTTTGAACTTCTGTTTTGCAAAACTTTGATCTTCTGTTTTGCAGAGCATTCAGATAGTCCCTTGTAAAGAGAATGGGACAGAAATGAGCAAGGACACACAGCTACATTGAGGGCTTGGCTGGCTCCAAGTTTTGAGTTGGGGGGGGGGCAAGGGGGCTAGAGGATACAAGATAGAATTAGAGCGTTCTTTCTGGGTGAGTGGCTTGGATCCTGTCCAGTTCTGCAGAAGTCAAAAATGATCAGCATAGTGCTGTGTGTTACAAATGGCTCTTGGGTTATGTCCAAAACTGTTTACTGCTGGAAGGCGCTGGGTCTCCATTCTGAGGCACTCTGGGGCAGTTTCAGATAAACTAAACAAAGGCGATTTTTATTGCAATGAAAACAGGACAGTAGCTGTTGCATTACTCAGTGGTTTGTTGATTTATTACTATGTTTATTCACTCAAGGCACCAATCAAGAATACAGCAACAAGTTGATTAAACACTGAGGGAAAAGGAGCTGGAGGAATATACTGTCTGAGTGGGCGAGACAGGCATAGAGAGAAGAGTACAAGCTGGGCGGCTCATGGGACAGCCAGCTGATACTCTCCCTGGGGAGGATGTGGGGCTTGAAGGGTTTCTTTCTCAAAATGGGATTGGTTGGGATTTTTCTTTAGGAGCAGATGAAGTAAGAAGAGAGGGAGAGAAGAAGAAGAAGAGAGCGAAAAGGAGAGGATAGAACAAGAACTGGTGAGGGCAGAAACGAAAAGAGGCTGGGGAAGCAATTGGGCAGGATTAAAAGGGCAGGATGTAAAGTATAAAAACAGATAAAGCACATTTTATTTCTGTTTAAAGCCCTTCACCTCTAGAAGGCACCTGGCTTTCATTGTGAGGCACTCTGGGGCAGTTTCAAAGTTCGTAACAAAAACAGGACAACAGCTGTTGAGTTACTTGTGGTTTGTTGATTTATTAATTATTGTCACACTATCACCAGTCATTAATCCTTTATTTTCTAGAAGGCCATGAATGTGTGTATGGTTCTGAAGGGAAGAGGCTGTTTGGTGTGCAGTTTGTGGCATAGCTTTTAGATGTACTTCCTGTGTTGACTAGCTGTTGAATCTAGTGCCTACCCCTGCTTTTTTCTCAGAACTGCCTCGTGTATGACAGCATATTTTCACAGTGAGCTCTGTAACGTGTGAGGCAGCCACAAGCTTTTATGTTATCATATACCCATAGTGAAATCACACTGCGGAAACCTGGGGCCAGTTGTGGCTTCCTGTAGCATATTGTAGCTGAGAACATGTAGTGCAATAACCACGTGTCTGCCTCTAACATTGTGGAGTTTACTGGGAAAATGCACCATAAAAATGCAGTTCAGTTGCTGTTTCAGCCTTGTTTTGTATCTTTTCTTTTCACCGACCCACCTCTTCTGCTAGGTAATTCATTCTAGCAGCTCTTCAGGCTTGCCAGCTTCCTCTTACTCCACCTTTTTGTGCCAAACCTTCTGACCCTTCTGTTAGGGTTGCCAACTCTGGATTGGGACATACCTGGAGATTTGGGGTGTGGAGTCTGGGGAAGGCATGGTTTGGGGGGGGGGGAAGGGGCCTCAGCAGGGTATAAGGCCATAGAGTTCACCCTCCAAAGCAGCCATTTTATCCAGGGGAACTGATGTCTATTACATGGAAATCAGTTGTAATAGCAGGAGATCTCCAGCCATCACCTGGAGGTTGTATCAATATAAAGACACTCCGTGAATGAATTACGAACAAAAGCAGAAAGATTATATTGTGCAAAACAATTCAAACAGTTTTAAATCTTTGTTAAAGTTCAACAAACCCTTATATATTCTTAATAAGCTAGGATCAGAAGTACTTGATACAAAAGGAAAACTCAAAGTCCACAAATCCTTTGTATAAAGACAAACTTCAGGAGAGCAAAGGTTCTATGTCTTGTATGAGCAGCAGCTATACACAGCTGGCTGCACGGTCGCGTTCACGTTTTGCTTCTTCAGATAGCTGGTACTCTTTAGCTGTGAAACTGAAAATATACTTTTATGTCACATCCACTAAATTACAACATATTTACTACATCCCCAGTTGTCAGCACATACATACTCACTGAAATAAAGTTTCAACAATTCTCCTTCAACTAGTTCTCCACTCACTCCACTGACAAGTTCTCTTTCTGCCGATTAGGCTTCTACAATAGTGGTGGTGGTGAACTCACAACATTCACCATTAAGTATGCACTGACAACCTGGAGTCACAATATTCTGACACAGCTTACATCAGTACACAATATCCTATTTTATATTTTTTCATTTCTAAGAATAAAATTTCTAATGAAACTGGTGGGGTGACCAAAGGAAGGAAAACTGACCTGAAAAAACCTACTTGTATACAA